AAGAAATGATATTCATCTTCTACCTCCTGATAAGTACACTATTTACACAATCGTGTTTCCCGTGGTATCCCTAAATACCTACCTTTTTCTATTAGAAGATCATGGGAACTACAGTGTTCATTCCAGCATCATGCGAGGGGCAGTGGGGTAGCCTGGTGGTTAAAGCGTTCGCTCGTCACGCCGAAGATTTGGGTTCGCTTTCCCACATGGGTACAATGTGTGAAGCCCATTTCTGGTGTCCCCCGCCGTGATATTGCTGGAATATTGCCAAAAGCGGCGTAAAACAAAGCTCACTAATTCACTGCAACATCTCGCCTTGGGTACGCTGTTCACATACGATGTTTTACCCTAATATTGACTCCTGATAGGGAACACATTAGTACCTAATTTTAATGACCAAAGTTCGGGTAACTTGAAGCACCCTTGGTTACCACATTTCGGTCAGCAACATCACATGTTTTTAATACGTTGGCCCCTGACAGACGACCATGTTTAGCATATAATAAGTACGTGCTTTGAATTATGAAAATCCTGGTAACCTGAACATCGTAGGTTAACCGCATGGAAGTAGGTACAGGTCGAAAATGAAATAGAAGGGCATCGTCAATATACCGTAGACACTTAAGATCCTAAAACCCTTTGCGCAGGTAATAAATTATATAGAGATGCATCGTCAATGGACATTAGGTCTTCACAATCTCCAAACCCTTTCGGCAGGATGAAAATGAAATAGAAGTGCATCGTCAATATAGGTTAGACCTTAAGATTCCCCAAACCCCTTCTGCTGATGGAAAATGAAATACCCCGGTAGAAGTGCATCGTCAATATAGGTTAGACCTTAAGATTCCCCAAACCCCTTCTGCTGGTGGAAAATGAAATACCCCGGTAGAAGTGCATCGTCAATATAGGTTAGACCTTAAGATTCCCCAAACCCCTTCTGCTGATGGAAAATGAAATATCCAATATAGGTTACACCGGTAGAAGTGCATCGTCAATATAGGTTAGACCTTAAGATTCCCCAAACCCCTTCTGCTGGTGGAAAATGAAATACCCCGGTAGAAGTGCATCGTCAATATAGGTTAGACCTTAAGATTCCCCAAACCCCTTCTGCTGGTGGAAAATGAAATAGAAGTGCATCGTCAATATAGGTTAGGCCTTAAGATTCCCCAACCCCTTCTGCTGATAGAAGTGCATCGTCAATATAGACCTAAAGATTCCCCAAACCCCTTCTGCTGATGGAAAATGTTAGGCCTTAAGATCGTCACAAATCCCCCTTTGTGCAAGTAAAAATGAGAAGTGCATCGTCAATATAGGTTGCATCGACAATAAATAAATAGAAGTGCATTGTAGGCCTTAAGATCAAAATCCTTTGTGCAAGTTAAAAATGATAAAGAAGTGCATCGACAATAATTATTAGCCCAAAAGATTCTAAAAACTCACTCTGCGGGTCGAAAGGTATGACAAGTGACATCCACTTACTCGTCTATGCAAATATGGTGTCGGTAATGCGTGAGCAAATAATCTGAGTGAAATGTACTCTAACAGGAACGTTAAAATTGCACAGCGTTCACTTTGTGACAAAACCAAGCACATCGGTACGAGTACCCACGAAGCATTGAATAGTAGTTGGGCAAATATGTACGGCTCATTGTACCTGTATAGACCACTTGTCGGGGTCAGGAATAGAAAATAGGTGTGAGTGTTTAACTGACAAACATAATTATCAGCTACATGTAGGAATTGCTGAAAAAAAGAATGTAAACTGAATTTATGTACCTGTATTGACGGTTAGTCGGATCAGAAAACCCCAAAATATACAACGCAGTATTGTGAAATACGTAAACATTGCAAACTGATCAAACGTGTGTTATTTTTTCATGCGCGTTGATGAAACCACTGCTCTTTGCATAGAGGGTAAGCACGAAAGAAATTTAAAATTCATCAGAAAACTTGTATCTCTCTGTTTCTCTCTGTTTCTCTTATTTTCGAAACAACAAANTTTCAGATTAGGTTACAGCCCGGAAAGCCACCTTTCCGAAACAGATAGCCTAAATTGATGCGGCTCTCCCGGCAATAGTTGCGTTAACAAAACAAGACATGTTTCCTCATAATTTCATTCAGATGACAACAGGTTTTGTTTCTATAATTAGCACAAGATGATATATTTATAGGTTTATTACATATAATAATATCACATAATGGAACGTGTTCATCTTAAATTCATTAAATTGGACACCGGTCTTAGATATAACACCCCGAACTTTATGGTTTATGGAGAACTTGGAAGACAACCTGTTCAGCTCCAAACCTCTAAACGATTAATTTTCCCATCCAAACAACAAATTAGCAGCTTTCATTCTAGATTATAACATGGATGATGCTTCCTGGCTAAATCATGTGAAACACATATTTTGTAAATGCGGCTTACCGGATGTATTTGTAAACCCCATTCATTATACCCAATCCTGGAGCATATCACAATCTGAATAAATCCTGAAAGACCAGTTTTCACAATCGTGGACCAGTGAAATGAATAATTCATCTAAAGGACAATATTATAAGATTTTTAAATACTCACCTTCACTCGACAAATACTTACTGCTATCTGAAAATATTTGGAAACCTATTCGATGTTTTAAAACATCTAACCATAAATTGCCAACAGAAAGTGGGAGATGGACGAATCTCGCAAGAAAAGAAAGAGGATGTAACCTTTGTAACCTTTGGAACCGCAGTTAACTGGGGATGAATTCCATTATATCTTTAGATGTTTATATTTTAGCCAACAACGCATCACTAACCTAGAAGATAGCTCTTGTTCCTTCCCTAATCTCTCCACATATAAAAGATTGATGTCAAGTACTAAAATTTCAACAATCAAACACCTATCTAAAGTTGTCAAAATTTATGTATATGTTCTAGTTTTCAGTAATCACTGCGTATATTCCCTGTCACGTTCTTGCATGCTTTGTATATTCTGCATTATGTACTCATGTACCACCGGAGGTGGTTCCATTTTGAGTAATGAACTCTCTGTGAAGAAGCTAAACACCGCGTTTGTGAGTTGGAAAGATTATTCGTTTCTTGTGAAAACAATATTATACATGGGGACACTCTTTTACCGGTTACGGTACACTATTAATTAATTAATCTATTGGAAAAGTGGCTTTACCGGCTACAGCCATGTAATTGAAATGTGGCCTTCCCGACAATAGTCATTTTTGAAATGTGGCTTTCCCGGCCTGTCACCTCAGATTATATATCCATCCCAGTTCTTGCCTCACAATTCTGAAACGCGTATTTGACACGCGTTACGCAAAGTAATATAACCCGTGACGATCTGAATTACAACTGGTCGTCAACCCATGCTTGTCATTAGGAGCGAATAACGGGATCGGGTGGTCAGGCTCGCTGACTTGGTTGACACATGTCATCGTATCCCATTTGAGTAGATCAATGTTCATGCTGTTGGTCACTGGATTGTCTGGTCCAGACTCGATTATTTACAGATCACCGCCATATACCAGGAATGTTGCTGAGTGAGATACGATGACATGTGGCAACCAGGAAACCGAGTCTGACCACCCGATCCCGTTAGTCACCCCTAAAGGCTTGGGGGCGATGGGGTAGCCTAGTGGTTAAAGCGTTCGCTCGTCACGCCGAAGACCCGGGTTCGAAACCCCACAAGGGTACATTGTGTGAAGCTCATTTCTGGTGTTCCCCGCCATGATATTGCTGGAATATTGCTAAAAGCGGCGTAAAACCAAACTCACGCACTCACTCACTATAAAGGCTTGGTTGACACATGGCATCGTATCTCATCTGCAGAGATCGATGCTCATGATGTTGATCACTGGACAGTCCTGACTCGATTATGTACAGACTGCAATCATATTAAACCACACACAACGTAGTGTATTATTTTACCAAGAGGTATGTAAAATGTTTTCCGAAAAAAGAAACAGTTCCGTTAGTGATGTGGCATCGCCAATAACATACACAAGAAACAGGACGGGACTGGGGAAAAACCTGTCCAAACCTATCAGTACTTCCATGTAATTTAATTTTCCATGTATGATCTCCATTATGAATACATGTCATCAAAGGCTGTCGCTTTGGTATGTGTCTGAGTGATCTCTGGCTGTGCAACATTGCCACCATCTTACATCAGAAACGAGGCATGACTGTGGTAATGCTATGACACGTTTCATGTTCGTGTTCTGCCAAGACGTGTGGTAATTTAACATGTTTGATAGTCAGAAATATTCCAACTAGATGGCGCCAGCGGCGGCCTGTAAATAATCGAGTCCAGACAGTCTACTGATCAACAGAATGAACGAATGAATGAATGAATGAATGTGAATTGTAGACGTCAAACGCTGTAGCTTCTGGAGCATTGTCCGAATTAAAGGAAAGGAGTAGTGAGTGAGTTTAGTTTTACGCCGCACTCAGCAATATTCCAGCTATATGGCGGCGGTCTGTAAATAATCGAGTGTGGACCAGACAATCCAGTGATCAACAGCATGAGCATCGATCTGCGCAATTGGGAACCGATGACATATTGTCAACCGTGTCAGCGAGCCTGACCACCCGATCCCGTTAGTCGCCTCTTACGACAAGCATAGTCGCCTTTAGTGGCAAGCGTGGGTTGCTGAAGACTAATTCTACCCCGGATCTTCAAGGGCCTAAAGGAAAGGAAGCGTGGAGAGTATTTGTTAATCCCAATGAATAATCGATCTAAATACGAAACTTAAACTGAAACTGCTAGTTTCGTTGGTACAATCAGTGGAAGGACTTTGACAAATTATGAAAATAGACATTATTAATGAGAACGTCCGGGATTTTTCCAGCTGAATAATCAACCAATGTTTTTCGATTAAAAGAGACTCGTTTAATTCATACGTTTTCTATTTGTTTAATAGTCACCTATGATATACCTTAGTGTTGTATCTTGTCTTTAAACTACTGCTCTGAAAGTAAAGAAAATGAACTCTTGGAAATCGTGAAGGCAAATAGTATTTAATAACAGACAATTAATGATAGACAGCTTCGTATTTTACGCAAGTGAATAGACTCGCTCAGTGTTACATTGGTCCTTATTATCATTATGTAGATACGTTCATATATATTCAATATATGGGTTGTCCTCTTAGACATTACTGAACTTAATACACTGCAAAAGTTTATTTATGTATCCAAAAATCATGATGAGAAACAGGATATGGAATGTTTCCTGAAAACACAATTAAAAAAATAAATCTCTTCTTGCTGTGTATAATCTCAAGAAGGATCGACCAGTGCATTACATTGCGTCTATACTGTAGGCCACCAGAGTTGCAACAATCACTGAAGAGGAGAATCCAAATGAGTCCCCGGCGTTGTTGAGTTTGTCGTCGCTGACGCCGAGCGGTCGGTTTGTTGCACAGCTGCATGACGAGAGTGCTGACACAAACTTGATGTCCTCTGCCGACTGAGACCAGGAGAGTGACCACTGAATGTAGTCCCCCAATTCGCCCTTGCAGGCAAGGATCTTCCTTGACCTTTGCTAAAGCTTGAGGACATTCTGGACGACATGCTCCATAGAAGTTGCAGTTGTCTAGGACCTGGTGAAAATACACATAAAACGTCAGTGTAAATGAGTGAGTTACGTTTTACGCCTCTTTTAGCAATGTTCCAGTAATGTCACGGCGGGGACACCAGAAATGGGCATCAAACATTGTACCCATGTCAGGAACGAACCCAGGTCTTCGGCGTGACGAGCGAACGCTTTAACCACCAGGCTACCCCACCGCCCCCAATGAAAACCGAGTCTTGATTATACTTTGATCACATGAATGACCGCTGAAAAACTGTGACGACACCAGGTGTTCGCGAAAAGGGTAAATGTGTCCTATCCTCAATCGGCGGTGGGGTAGCCCAGTGGTTAAAGCGTTCGCTCGTCACGCCGAAGACCAGGGTTCGATTCCCCACATGGGTACAATGTGTGAAGCTCATTTCTTCTGTCACCGCCGTGATATTGCTGGTATATTGCTTAAAGCGGCGTAAAAGCAATCTCACACCTATCCTATAGGTAGCACCAGAAGTGTGCGAAATAACCACTGGCCCGCTAGCCCGTGGCTAGTAAAAATCCAATCGGGCCTGTAAATCTCCACAGTCACTGGCCCGACTGGCTAGTGAATTTTAATGGGGTCATTTTGTGAATACATCACCCTCTTCGACTTGTTAAGTTAAAATACATTTCTAAATCATGCAAGATTATGGCCTGATGAAAATGGTCATCATATTAGCAGCGTCATGATGAAACCCGTGTCTACATTCAAATTTCGGGCTAGTGAAATATTCTGTGGGCAAGTAACTTTAAGGCATAGCTAGACGGACTGGCTCGCAAAAGTTTGGAAACTATTTCGCACACTGAACACCAGCCATTGACTCAATTTGCCCAGAGGCAAGTATCAGCAGCATCTAGTTTGCGGCGCTTTCAACTTTACCCACAAGTATCTAAGGCTTCATAATGGGCATAATATACAATGTCATGTGTTTATGGTAATGGTTGTGGCGGAGACCGTATATTTCATACGTAGTACAGACTGGACGCTTGCACAGTTTCACGTAGTACGTGGATGCACTTTGATTCTGGTTACAGTTTTCTGTGCAAGGAACTGCTCGAATAAAAAACGGGAACAGCGTTTTTCGGGACCTCTTGGGAACAACTACTTGTTGGTAGAACAACCCCCCTCTTTATATATCAAACTGTCGATCTTTACTCACGTGTGAACAGTTGCAGAAATTATCTACTTACCATTCGCCTCATAGAATTTGTTTCAGGATCGGACACATTCAGAAATTTCATGAGGTTGCATTTTTTCAAAGAACCTATCTCCAGACTGCATTGGTCAATGGAGCCCCAGGTGACACAGGCAGGGCTTGTCATGTTCTCAATAGGAAACACGGTGAAGATGCCGTAGCACATTTCATCGTATGTGCCTTCCCCAAAGAAGGTGGTTCTGGTTCTTGAAAGAGACCTGTAGGTGCACGTCGTCTCCAGTCTGTCACCGGGGAGGAGCTCGACGGGAGGGTCGAACCTGCAAGGCATCATTTATAGTGAGTGAATATGGTAATACGCTGCTTTTAGTAATGTTCCAGCAATATCACGGTGGGGAACACCATAAATGGACTTCTCACGTTGCACCCATGTGGAGAATCGAACCCGGGTCTTCGGCGTGACGAGCGACGCTTTAACCACTGGGCTACCCCACTTCTCCCATCATTTACAAGTTCGATGAGAAGAGTATTTGTTGTTTAACGCAACACGAGGCAGTATTCTGAAAATATGACTACGGTCTGTCACCAATAGAGTCTGATCTAAGTGAGTGAGTTTAGTTTTACGCCGCACTGAGCAATATTCCAGCTGAATGGAGGCATTCTGAAAATAATCGAGTCTGAACCAGACTGTCTATGACATGTGTCAAACAAGTCAGCGAGTCTGACCACCCAATGCCGTTAACCGCCTTTCACAAGCACTGGTTGCTGAAGATCAATTCTAACCTGGATCTTCCTGGCTGAGTCTGGTCCAAACAATGCATATATTGGTAAGCCTGTTCTTTAAGGTCACACTCTGCAATTTTCCTGCGACAGACATCATGGGCATCGATCAAATAAATGGGATACGATGACATGTGTCCACCAAGTTTTCGAGCCTGACCACACGATCCCGTTAGTCGCCTCTTACGACAAGCCTGCTGGGGACCCATAATACTCCGGATCATCATGGGTAAGTAACTTTTGGTACGTTTGTCGGATTTCAGATGCTTACTCGTGGATGATGGGGTTATCGTAGCTGTAGACGTCGTCCTTGGTCAAATCCCGAACCTTTTGACCATCCCGGAACAATTCCACATTCTGCTGGTAACCTTGACAACAGACACAAAAAGAAAATCATAACATAATGCGTCATAACATATTTATCTTTATTTGGAATCGCATGTAGCTGATAGTTTTGATATTGGGTCTTTAATGAAGCACTCGGGGCTATCTGTTTGATCTTTAAGGGAGTAGTCTGTAAAAAATAGGGTCTGGACCAGACAATCCGGTGACTGCTACTATGAGCAACGATCCAATGTCTTAATACGGTGACACCCTACCAAACCACAGACCCATGGACATCCGATCCACAGAGTAACTTCATACACGATATGGCTGAAATATTGCCGATGTGACGTTAGATTGTAACTCAAGTCAAGTCAAGTCAAGTATTTTTATTCCGTATGTAGGCCACAGGCCCATATACAACATACATACATTTGTTTACAAATATAGATACACTTTAAAGGGCATACATATCAATAATACACGTGTTATTTGTTCAAATAGATTTCTTGTCAGTATAAATATCATATTTAATATAAACATATATACACACCTTTATAAACATTTATAATGGAAAAATTTGTGGTTTATAGAAAATTTATTGGAGTTTGATTGCTCTGATTTTATAAACATGAAAGATATATTTACATAAATTTCTTAAAAGTGTTTCATTATTTGTTGATAACAGGGACTTAAATTTATAGTAGTTTGGTTGTTTCTGATATACATATGGCAAGTATTTTAATCTATGGGAGTTATATTCAGTACATATAAAAATAAAATGATGCTCATCTTCCACACCCAGCTTACACAATGGACAATTACGTTCTGCAACCTCAACATGTAACCATCTTCCCTCATTATACTTTAACCTTAATAACCCGAATCTAAATTTGATCAAAATATTTCGAAACTTTTTGTCCAAGATACATGATAAATATTTGTCTGGAGTTAACAGACTTTTAAACTCTTGGTAAATACGGTATCGTGAACTGTTATTCAATGTACAATTCCATGATTGAAAAAACATATTGATTGCAACAGTCTTGAATCTATTTACAAACGAAGCTGCATCACCAACTGTCTGAGACATCCAGACGTTACCAAATCCATGTGAAAAAAGTATTTCTCTAACATATATAACTCTCTCACCCATACAACCAGAATAGGTTTATGGGAACCTATTCTAACCCGTAATATGCCACGATACCCAACCCTACCGATGATATGATTAGTGATTTAAAGTGTGTCCACCATTTAAACCCAAAATGACATTAACTAAACTTCAACCAACCCTAATTCAAAAACATAAAATTGTGTATCCCACTGGAGGTAGATCGCAGTGACCTACTAATGTGTGCATCACTTCTTGTACAGAACTACAGCATTACATAACTGCTGCATGCATAATGCCTGAGTATATTTCCGAACTTTAATATAAAAATGGTACTTTACGAAAGACCTTAAATGTGACCTTCACCTTAAACGCGGGTCATTTGGGACCATAAAATGACCTAGATCAAAGTCATTGACATAAAATTGATGATTTGATTATTTCGTTGTTGTTTTTTTTCTCTTCCACACACGACCACGCCGATGACCACGAATGTGCCTGTCCAAGGTTATGAATTGAAAGAAATACATCCGAAACGGTACATATCCCTAGTATGTCCGACCCGTGAAGATCAGGATTGGAATTGGTCTTCAGTAAAGATCAGGATTAGAATTGGTCTTCAGTACCCATGCTTGTCGTAACAGGCGATTGACGGAATTGGGTGGACAGACTCGCTGACTTAATAATAATAATAATAATTGATTTATAGAGCGCCTATTTCCAAAAGATATTGCTCAATGGCGCTATGAAGAGAAAAGATTGTAGACAATGTCTATGGAAAAGAGAGTTTGAACAGATGAGTTTTGAGGGCAGTTTTGAAAGCATCAGCATTATACATTAGTTAACATATGTCATCGTATCCCAATTGTGTAGAACGATGCTCATGCCTATTGATCACTGGATTGCCTGGTCCAGACTCGAGTAATTACAGACCGCCGCCATACAGCTGGAATATTGCTAACTGCGGCACCAAAGAAGACACTAACCAACCAATGAGGATGATGAGGATGATCAGATGATGAGGATGAATAGATTCAGGCAAACCCTTACAGTTTCCCATCTACACCATTTACACCCGTAATCTCACCCACACTCCGGCACAGCGATGACTAACATAACATCACTGCCACAGGCTAATTTGCATATCACGTGACCGGACTTTTCTCTTGTTTGTAATCAAACGCGCATATTCATAATAAGAAGAGACTGGACTCACGAAAGCTTATCGGCGCTCTCTTCATAATGTTTTACATTGTTACATATATATTCTTCCACAACTCCGACAGTAAGGTCTATGACAGTACATATTTAGATATCAAACTGGCTGCATCGTTTGCTCTCCATCAGCTTCGATGACAGCACGTGGAGCCGTACAACCTATGTAAACAAAGGATCGCTACGCAAATCGAAATAGTGTTACATGTTTTTGGATATTTTCTCAGTGAAACTAAACCATTCAATTAAAGATGTTTAGTTAGATGTGTAGACTCGTCAAAAATAAAAGAGTAAACGAAATCTGTACATTATAGCGAATGGACATTGCAAGATGTGACGAATCGTCACATTTTTGTGGCCTGTGGCAGAGGTACTATGCTGGCTTGCCGCATGGAACTCTGGGTAGGAGAGTGAATCTCACCTAGGTAGTGCATATGGTTGAGGCCAGTGGTGATGTAGACATTGTTGTCAACGTTCATCTGTGTGCATTCAGAGGTGCAGGTTGACCTTAGAGTGACGCGTGACTGTCCAGCAGGAATCTCCAGGTTTGTCTGGCCAGTGTAGAAGAAGCCAGCGTTGTATTTGCGGAGTTTTGGGGTGTAGTACAGGATCATGCCGGAACTGTCCCAGTAGTCGGTCACCAGCTCAGGGTTGGTCCAGTGGAACTGTGAAGACGTAGATTGTCCATGATTCATGTCCATGCATGTTCGAGCCGCGTTCAGCGATACAACTTGTTCGTATGATGTAACGTCCAAACCAACGCTCAACTGCCCTGGTAAGCCCCCCACATGTCCTCAGACAGGAGTATGTATAATCGTGGAAATTTAAATGGTAATAAAGATGCAGAAACATCACGTCACGTACGTCAAACGTAAAAACAACAACAAACAAACAAAAAGAACAACCCAAAACACCACTTGAGGTGTTTGTTAAACGTCCAAGCAGCTGCTCAAACATGCAACATTTCAGCTTCACCATTAAATGTTCAAACGGGTGCTCATCTACGCTTATCATTAATCGGTCAAGCAGCTGCTCAAATATGCAGTATTTCAGCTTCACCATTAAATGTTCAAACGGGTGCTCATCTACGCTTATCATTAATCGGTCAAGCAGCTGCTCAAATATGCAGTATTTCAGCTTCATCATTACATGCTTAAACATATGGTCATCTATGGAGAATTTCGTCCGTATCATCATCAAGACTGGCTTATGTCCCACGGTCGCCGGCTGTTATGATAGGACGTCAACAATGTCAATGCGGCTGGCGATCCGAATCTAATCAGTTGCTTCTTACGAAGGTCAGCAAAGTGTTGACTCTTCTAACAACACATTACTATCATATGCATTCGTGCAGAAAAAATATCTCCTTGCTTGCACATTGCACGGCGGCACATGCACAATTGCAGTGTTGCCAAAAGGAATCTGGGCCTAATTGAAAAATCTCAAAACAATAAGCCAGATAGCATTCAGACGTTGACAAAATGTAGTTGGGAATAGCGGGGTCGGTTTTAAAAGTTATTTCAACAATTTTATGCAAGAGGCAGTGGGGTAGCCTGGTGGTTAAGGCGTTCGCTCGTCACGCCTAAGACCCAGGTTCGATTCCCCACATGGGCACAATCTGTGAAGGTCATTTCTGTGTATTGCTAAAAGCGGCCTAAAACCATACTCACTCACTCGCTCACTCTATGCAAGGGACGCTAATCTGGTTTGACAGTTATTCCTGTTCGGCGTTGTGCATCTGGCGCAGACGACGTGAATGGTGATATCTATCGTAGGTGTATTGATTCACTCACTCATTTGACCCGTGAAGATCCGGGTTAGAATTGGTCTTCAGCAACCCATGCTTGTCGTAAGAGGCGACTAACGGATGGTCAGGCTCGCTGACTTGGTTGACACATGTCATCGCATGTTAATGCTGTTGATTACTTGATTGTCTGTCCCGACTCGATTATTCACAGACCGCCGCAATGTAGCTGGAATATTGCTGAGTGCGGGGTAAAACTAAACTCACTCACTCACTCACTTATTCACTCACTCACTCACTCACTCACTCACTCACTCACTCACTCCTCACTCACTCACTCACTCACTCACTCACTCACTCACTCACCTGCATCATGACTGTGTGAGTCCCTTTCCCGCCTATCTTGAACCCAGCTTCGTGGTAGATACACTCCCCAGTCATCCCCAGCGTCCACAGACCCATATTGATGTTGCAGCCGCCTTGCGCCATGAAGCAGTTCTTTGGTTCTGGTATCTTGCTGGCTGAAATGGAAAAAAAAAACAGAACCAATTGAGTTGAGAGTTCATACATGCAGTGTTTCATCTCAGGTGATAATGTTTAATCATTGTTTGTTGTTTAACGCCGCACTCAGCCATATTTCAGCTATACGGCGGTGGTGTGTAAATAATCGAGTCTGGACCTGACAATCCAGTTATCAATAGCATGAGCATGGATCTACGAAATTGGGATACGATGACATGTATTAACCAAGTCAGCGAGTCTGACCACCCGATCCCGTTAATATTTAGTGAGTGAGTTTAGTTTTACGCCGCACTCAGCAATATTCCAGCTATAGGGTGGCGGTCTGAAAATAGTCGAGTCTAGACCAGACAGTCCTGTGATCAACAGCATGAGCATCGATCTGCGCAACTGGGAACCGATGACATGTGTCAACCAAGTCAGCGAGCCTGACCACCCCGATCCCGTCTTACGACAAGCAAAGTTGGATCCCGTTAATAGCCTCTTACAAGTATGGGTTGTTGAAGATCAATTCTAACCCGGCAATCTGTGGATGGAGCAAATTGCAGCGTCGTTGCATACTGGGAAATACATGGAGAGAGTGAGTTTAGTTTAACGCCGTACTCAGCAATATTCCAGCTATATGGCGGCGGTCTGTAAATAATCGAATCTGAACCAGACAATCCTGGGATCAACAGCATGAGCATCGATCTACGCAACTGGAATGTGATGACAATACGTGGAGAGAGTGAAAAATACAATATTTTTCCATCAGCTGGGTCAAGTACCTGTGTCCACGCATCCTGTGACTGTGATGTGATGCATCACGTTAGGGTTGTCAATCACAGGCTGTGTTGCTATCAGGTGGTATTCCTGGTCTGCAGGGAACTCCTCCGGAAACTCCAGGTCAAAGGTCATGCACATATAGGAGGTTTCAACCGCAGGCACTAACGTTCGTGGGAACCTCAGTGTAATGTTGCGTACGTCTGTAAAACACGAGCGTCATACTGTCGGGACCTCAAGAATAAAGTCAGATTTTCATTTTTACAAATACATGTATACACAAAGAACTTAGTTAAGCACCCCCTGGCATATCTCATGATTGAAAGAGCCCCGATCTTAACCCTTTGGAGCACATCTGGAATACGATTGTTCATCGTGTGCAACAAAGGATCCTCCTGTACAGAACCTGGACCAACTGGAAGCTGCTTTACACGAGGAATGGCGTAGACTGCCCCTTCAGAGGATCAGGAGGCTGACGGGGTATGAGGAGGAGAGTGCTGGCTGTCATACAGTCACATGGAGGTTACACTCGGTATTGACCTTGAATCGTGTAAGACACGCAAAATGAAATTGTGAATGTTTACATTCACCAATAAATTCAACATTAAACATTCCAGTGCCATACTTGTACAGACATGGTTTTGTATGAAAATCAGTGTTGTATTTTCTTTTTAAATGAGCAATTATCATCATAAAATCAAGATGTATTCCAATCAAAGCATCATACGGGCTAGGAAAACTCACGTTTTGCCACCGAGGTCACCAGAGACGATTTATGCACCTGTTGAAAATTTATCATTGCAAAAATACAGGAGGAGCTTAATTTCCTTCTTCGTGTATAGGTTAGGTGTGTTCCTTTGATAATGCAAGCCTTTTGAAAGGTGAAATTTGGTTTTACGTCGTGCTTGAGAATATTCGCTCATATGACGACGTGCATGCATGTGTATGTGTATGTGCGGCTGCTTGTACTAGCCCAGACTTTAGCTGGTTTTATAGTGCTAGCCCACTGAGATACCATGCTGCAGTGAAGCATGAATACCCCACTCAGACACATTATACTGACTCCGAGCCGACAAGTCCTTGTTGTACCCATTAATGCCGAGCGCCAGACAGGGACCAGCAAGTACCATATTTTAACGTCTTTTGGTATGACGCGGTCGGGGATCGAACCCGCGACCTTCCGCTCTCCGGGCGGACGCTCTAACCACTACACCACGGAGGCGGTTGAAGACACATCAAGGATCGCCTCTAGGCGGAATATAGGTTTCAAATGGTACATGGGCCCGTGGCCCTAATTCAGAGGAACTTTATCCACGCCAGTTGAATTAGACTAGTGAATGTATCTCACGTTGTTCGTTAATGGCGGGGCATATGAACTCCTCTGTGTCGCAGTTGAGGATCTTCGACTCGCATTTCGGACTGTCAAGGGGATCACATACGCCTGAAACAACGAACAAACATGTTGAATGTGATGACCTTATAATCTAAGCAACATGGACACGAATGTACATGGTAAAATATCTGTGAACGTGCAACACGAAGACCATAAATATTCTGGTAGAAGTGCTGGAAATTAGTCAAGAGATTGAAACGTGAAGCCGAACAGTCTGATTTCTTTCGTCATGGCATATTTTCATGTCACGGCATACTTTCATGTCTTGCCTTCCGTCTTGGGAAATGTTTCTTTCCAGAACGGAAGACCCTGATTGGAAATTTGGTGGCGATCTGGGTGATGCTGTTCAAAGCGATCCTAGCATAGCTAAGGTAATTGAATTGCCTGTACCTCAACATAGGACAGGGCGATGGAGTAACCTGATGGTTAAAGCGTTCACTCGTCACGCCGAAGACCCGGGTTCGATTCCCCACATATGAGTACAAAGTGTGAAGCTCGTTTCTGGTGTTGCCCGCCGCGATATTGCTGTAATATTAGTAAGAGCGGCATAAAACTATACTCACTCAACATTGGGCAATCGTAGTGCTAATGTTTATTTCTTAGAATAGCAGAAAGTGACAGAAGTAAGAGGTAATCGGGTTCAGCTGCAAAGGAGAATTCAGGGACAAAAGAACAAGGTCCACCCTGCTCTCACTTGTAATTGTAAATAGTCACAGGTGCTGGGGTCTCAAAACATCTTAGATTTTTGAAAACGTACAATGGTCGGTCCCATAGATTCCTGGTATTCACGGATACCATCGGAGTACCGTTAACGACTTTCAGACTGTTACCTGTACAAAGCTCATTTAGCTTATTACCCGTACTAATACGGGTTAGAATTGGTTTTCAGCAACCCATGCTTGTCGTAAGAGGCGACGACCGGTTAGCTGGTGGTCAGGCTCGCTGAACTGGTTCACACTTATCATCGTATCCCAGTTGCTTAGATGCATATGCTATCAGTCATCGGATTGTCTGGTCCAGATTCGAATATTTACAGACCGCCGCCATATAGCTAAAACTGATGAACAGATAATAACAATAAACAACAAACAAACTAACTTGGATTAGTGTTTGCCATCACACATGTACCCCGACGGAGAGAATCGTTGTTTATGTTATTAACCACTTGGCTAACTGCTCACAAGCCGCATTGACAAGTTCTAATATTGCCTGCCATTTGGTTTAGGCACATAAGACACTGACCATAGAAAGACAACTTATGATTCCTTTCTACCTTGACCTGACCCGTGAAGATCCGGGTAAGAAGTGATCTTCAGAAACCCATGCTTGTTGTGAAAGGCGACTAACGGGATCGGATGGTCAGTCTCTCTGACTTGGTTGACACATGTCATTGTATCCAAATTGCGTAGATCACTGGATTACAGACCGCCGCCATATAGCTGGAATACTGCTGAGTGCGGCGTCAAACAACATACCAACCAACCAATCTAGCTTGACTTCACCTGGGTGAGTTATCTGGGTCGTCCTCTCTGGGAAGACACCACTGGACGGTGTCCATTCACAACTGGGATCACCAAGCTCCATACCGTTAGACTTCCCATCGCCGTCAGAGTCCAGCTCACACAATGTCTTTGTCCACTGTCCAAGACAAATTGCTTTTACAGTTTGTGCGTTAATATGTTTCGCCATATTGGCAGTAAGTCTGCCATATCGAGACTAGACTGACTGACTGAGTTTGGTTTTACGCCGCTTTTAGCAATATTCCAGCTACATCACGGCAGGGGAACACTAGAAATGGGCTTCACACATTGTACCCATGTGGGGATTCGAACCCGGGTCTTCGGCGTGACGAGCCAATGATTTAACCACTAGGCTACCCCCCGCCTCGAGACTGGAACAAGTAAAACATTAATGATATATTTTTGGTGATATAAAACGGGTCGCGCCGTCAAAACGGCAAAGGAACTAAAGTATCAGTGAGTGAGTTAAAATTTTACATCGCATCGGCAATATTTCAGCCATAGGTGTTCCCGTTAGGATAAGACCTATTCTCGAAACTTGTCCAAACTTGAGCTACCGATCCTAGCAAGGATAGCGAGCTCTTCAGTTGGTAAGATAGTAAAACCTCCATTATAGCTGGGGATTCCCCTAGATATTTCCCATGATTCATTGTAAGGGCGGATCCAGGATTCTTGAAAGGGGATTGCACATAAATCATGATGTCCAAAGTTTGGATTAAATGGGAAATTTTGTTCAGGTTCGGGTTCGGGACGCCTATCCTAGGAACAATGTTAGGATATCCTTGTGCTAGGATCCTTTCGAGAAGGCCCTGCGCTACTCCGGAATATCCAAGAGAGTAATGAAACGAATATATCTACCTTATGACCGCTGTTAGCAAAGTCGAGGCCGAACTGGTTATTGTCGCCGCCCCCCAGCGCACTGAGATGCCCGACTCCTCGCCATATGAAGTTGGGTTTACAGGGATGAGGAACCTGATCCCCGTTCGGTATCTGTTCCTGGTAGTGACGGTAGCAGTTGCTATACTCTAGCAGCAGCAGCAACAACAGCTGTATCAGCAACAGGCTGTATCTGATAGAATTAGGAGACAGTTTTATATACGTAAGGCTATTGTAACACTGTAACTACACTAGATGTGTTTCACTATAGTTAACCTGGGGCTGGCTAAAATGATCGATAATCGGAAATATCGTCGATAAAAAAATATTAGTGATTATCGATATGAAAATTGTGTTATGGATAATATCGTAAATTAACTTTTGTGATAGAAAAAGGTTTAATTTTCTCACACAATACACAAATTTATGATTTTAGTCATGACCTGCTTCTAAATTATGTTCAGGACGCTGTTTTGTTTATAATCCATGCAAAAACATGTTACTATGGAATACTGTAAGGGACATTCTCGTGATTTCGCATTCTCGCGATCTCGACCTTTGGAAACAAGCTAAAAATGCCAATGGTGCGAGAATGCGAGATCGCGAGGACGCAAGATTTGGCCAATATCTCGCGTTCTCGCGATCTCGCATTCTCGTGTTTTTGGTACATAGCACATTTTGTCAAAAGTCGAGATCGCGAGAATGCGACATTTGTACATGCTGTCAAATCTCGCATTCTCGCAATCTCGACTTGTCAAATATGGCCACAAAAACACGAAATCGCGAGATCGCGAGAATGCGACATTTCATTTTCTCGCGTTCTCGCGATCTCGCGTTTTAGACGCACTTTTGCATTCTCGCACTTTTGGCATTTTTAGCTTGTTTCCAAAGGTCGAGATCGCGAGAATGCGAGATCGCGAGAATGTCCCTTACAGTATTCCATAGCTTTGTGTGTTCAAAACAGGTTTTTTCACAAAAGAAAGGGCGGTGGGTGAGCTTAGTGGTTCATGCGTTCACTTGTCATGCCGAAGACCCGGGATCGATTCCCCACATGGATGGAATGTGTGAAGCCCATTTCTGGTCACCCCCGCCGTAATATTGCTGTAATATTATTAAAAGCAGCGTAAAACCCACTTACTCCAACACAATCCGCCCTCATAGACACGACAATCTGCATCCCACATGCCCCAACTCGATATCTCATCTTTTCACAACCTTATTGAGCTATGTTTTTTTCTGTTGCTCGTTAGTCGGTTCATTACTTCAGAATACCCACAGTATGTGTGAAATTACGTCTCATCTCCAAACAAAATCCTGTTACTATCCCCACTAGTGGGTTCCGATGATCGAAAATAATGGAAAATCGATCGAAAGAAGGATTAAAAATAATGATCGATTGTTAAAAACATATTTTCGATTAATCGGAATTTTGTTGTTTTAGTATAACGCACTTAAATACAGTAAACTAACCATTAAATTTGACGAATATTCACGAACAAACATGCGCTCAACAGCGTAAAGATATGCCCACTTTTATTGTTTAATTACAATTCCAGTGTCTTTCTTGCATGCGTGCATTTCATTGCATGACAGTATTAGATATAAAAAAAACCTTAAAATTGGTGATTACATTACAAATGTATATATTTCGATTATAATCGATAATCGTTCACCACCAGTCCTCCGATAATCGATAGTGGGTTTGGTTTCCGATTCCAAACACTAATCCCTACTATCCAACGGGAAAAGTCAGTTATATAATATTAAACTAGGATTCGTAAGCACCACAGCCGAGCTCTTTGGTTCTGCCGAAGTGGTTGATGTCGACGACCTAAATCGTTTAGGACCTTCGTCTCATATCTTTTTAAGAAAACATACAGTGTCTAACTTTTCTTTCTTGAGCTGTTCGGAATGCGCTACTGAGCTACTTTTGGACTGGAATTGGCGCTATATAAATGTTTTCATGATGATGATGATGATGATGATGATGATATCTATTTAAAATTTGTTTGTTTGTTGTGTAACAACTCACTCAGCAATATTCCAGGTGCAAGGCGGCGTTCTGCAAATAATCGACTTGGACCAAACAATCCAGTGATCAACAGTATGCAAAAATAAGCCATGGTATAACTGAGATAGTGTTCAAGGCAGAATTAAACCAAACTCATCCACCCACTTGCGGTATATTAGCAAAGAACGTAAGACGCGTGTTAAAATAAATGACACTTTCTTCCAATTGAATTGCACCCAAGAATCCATCGTCCCGATCTACAAAACGTTCGTAGCGTTACGACATCCGTAAGCCTATGATAAACCACAGAGTTACGACAGGTCGTAACGTTACGAACGTTCTCTGAATCAGGGCCTAGATTTTCGAAGCTCTCTTAGCGCCAAGATAGTCGTAAGTTAATGTTAATGTATGGCACTTACGACTATCTTAGCGCTAAGAGAGCTTCGAAAATCTAGGCCTGTACGTTATGCACGCAAGGGCATGGTGCCATGGAAATACACAATTAGCAATACTTTCTATGAATGTACGAGCACAGTAACGCGACTTGGTCCTCTTACCTTAAATCCATTGTGATAAATGAATTGTTTGAGATTTGAGACTTAATATACTGCCCTCTGACGCACACCTGTGTGACGGTTAAGCATGGCAATTTATGACATACTCTCAATATTTATAATCAGAATGTCGAACGACTTTTCAAAGTAGCAGCACTTAACTATATATCCAGATCAAAAGGTTTCCATCTAAACGAAGAACTTCAGCTTGGAATATGTAAACGATTTCCAAGGAACTCTGATTATTTGTAGTATTAAACACAGCTATAAAATAATAAAATAAAAGATAAAATAATATTAATGACAAATAGTCGTTAAACGGGACAATGCAACAATGGTTCCAGCTACATAATAGAAAAATGGTCTTTAATGGAATTGAAATTCAGTGTATTTTACTGACATGGAGGTAGGACGTAACGGATGTTTATGATTCGAAATTTCTTCTCGGGTTGGAAAAATCAAAACAATGGAATTTGACCAAGATGTCAACATGCGTTTGACGTAAATGGATGACCTGATATCGTTCATTAACAGGTAAAAATGAATTCCTTCCACGTATTTACGTGCCTGAACTTGCAATAAAAGCGAGCAGTAGCATCACCTCATCTGTTATATATACTCATGGAAACAAATAAGGGAACACATGAAAGTGCAAGTGTTCCTTTACTCTTTTCCAGGTTTCTTCACAAGGTATGTAAAGCACAGTGGGTGAAATTCTGGAAATAAATAAAGAAACATGTGTACTTTCATGTGTTCCCTTATTCGTTTCCATGAGTATGTTTCAATCTAAAAGTAAGAAAAAGGATCAGAGTGGAAACAAACCTCTCTACAAAACTGTATGGCATGAGGGATGTATTAAACATTTCCTTAATGTCGGGCAGTTCCAGGTTTTTGTGTCATTTCACAAAGTTTGAGGTATAAACAGCATGATCAATCTCCGAAGTTTACAGAGAGCGTCATTTTTTGTCAAGGCTCTCTGACTATATAATCCAGGTCTCAGTAAAGCTTTCTAAAGGTTATGTCGTGCATTCGGTGGACATTTAAAACATTAACGTATATAAGAAAATGTTCTCATGTCTCTTTTCCGGTGCACACTTGCCTTGCCTTTGCATGTGTTTTTGACGTGCGCCACCGGTGAGGCTTGATAGTCTCACCTTTCCGCGAAGACCTGATACAATCGCTGTTTGAACATGTTTCTCAAACGAATGCAACCGTATTGCTGGGGTCGTATACGGGACTTGGTAGAGACCTCAGTGTTTATGGAAATGGTATTTCCGATATTTAAGTGAGTCTGTATTAATTTAAAACTAACTTACGACACACAAATATCCGAATTCAACGTTGACTTACTTACTTAATGGGCACTTCGTCCACATTGCACTCAGTCCACCCAGCTGTTTAAAATGGGTACCTGAGAAGCAGATGTACGGACCTATACGGTCGCGCGAAGCGCGTAGTAGCTGCTTTGAAAGTACAATTCCGTCAGGGTAATAATGTAACACCAGAGAAAAGCCTTGCGCTGGATCCTAGGCGCAAAATTTAGCTTTACTTACTTCATGTGAGTATGTCTGACTAAAACTGAACAATAAAGCAAAGATTTACTAAATGTACACATTGTAGTGAATTCAAGAATACCTATTATCACCTAATCTTGGTGTACAGCGTCCACATTCTGGAACATTTCAATATCTATACACGACCTTGCCACTGGTGTCGTCAGCCAAAGCACGTTTGATTCAAGTCCTTCACACCCCCTTTTGCTGCTGATCTACTCAGTAACTCAAACGTGGTGTAAATCAGTTTGACACTTAAAGATAACCCGTATACCCTAGAGACAATATATCAGCATCACAAATAGAACTATTTACAAATGACTAGCCCTTGCTGAAAATTGGCTCTTGAAAGTGGAGGCCTCACGAATTCACACCTACTTTAAATCTAAATTAAATTACAGTTCTGTTGTGCCTGTTTACTCATTTGGCTGTTGTTTAACGCCGCCTTAACATTCCAGCTATATGGCGGCTGTCTTTAAATAATCGAGACTGGACCAGACAGACCGGTTATCAACAGCATGAGCATCGATCTGCGCAATTGGGAACCGATGACATGTGTCAACCAAGTCAGCGAGCCTGACCACCCGATCCCGTCAGTCGCCTCTTACGACAAGCATGGGTTACTGAGGGCTACTTATTTACAGACTGCCGCGACATAGCTGGAACATTCCTGAACGCGGCATCAAACAAAACAACATAAGACGAGTATGGATGGCACCTTTTTCATTGTATGACACGACGTTTCTGGGCTACTTCTTGCCCCATCTTCAGGTGATCTAGCCCAGAAACGTCGTGTTATATATTCACCAACTTCTAAATGCCTCTCAAGATTACAATCAGCTGAAGAAGGGGCAAGAAGCAGCCCAGAAACGTCGTGTTATACAATAAAGAAGACGTTGCCATCCATATACTCGTCTTAAACATATGCGTTGATGACAAACACCTATTTTCCACCAGTGTATTCACTCGTTGGTGCGAACTATTAATATATATTATCACAGTGACGATGGGACGCTTTAACCAGACCCAGCTTTACTGTGAATCATGGCTATAAATAGCTTCTTTACTCAGTGAGAACCGTATGAAATGAACTGTCAACAAAGGACTGACAAGGTGATGACTGTCTTTCGCAATACCGAAATATGCAAACTTTATGACGGCGGTCTGTAAATAGTCATGTGTGGACACGCCAATGCCCACATTGTAAATAAAAGCGACAAAAAACTCGTGACCGTCACAATGTTGAAGTCATTGAAACTGGTTGCGCGCCCTTGTGTGACGTGTCTGGTGTGATCATGAGTGTGTGTTTACGTGTGCATTCCCACCACAAAAAAAGTACACCTGATCATGTACAGTTCGGTACACCTGATTATGTGCAACCCCCCTACCCTACCTTTAAACGGAAAAGATACCCCCGAAAATACAACAACAAAAAACAACACAAAAACAAAAGAAAAAAACTATCCACCAAACAAAGAAAAACATACACAGCAAAGTTAAGATTTGACTGCTTGTCTGCCGGTTTTGTATTCTTTTTGCCCGTTTGATATACTCTATTGTATTTCTTCATTAAGTCTTCACACCATTCACGAACTAACTGCAATTTTCATTCTTTTCGTACAGCAAGATTCCCGGTACTTGACGATAGCCGGGGAAATAATTCACATAAAGGCTATGGATCGTCACCAATTGCAAGGTTCACCAGCTGGTCCATATAGTTTCCTCCTTCACCTAAAATTCGAGGAACCCGTGAAGGTCCGGGTTAGAATTGATCTTCAGCAACCCATGCCTGTCGTAAGAGGCGACTAACGGGATCGGGAGGTCAGACTCGCTGACATGGTTGACACATGCCACCGTATCCCAATTGCGTAGATCGATGCTCACGTTGTCAATCACAGGATTGTTTTGTCCATGTTGTGATCATTTGCAGACCGCCGTTGTAGAGATTGTGTATTGCTGAAGTCCGACGTTAAAGACACAAACAAACAAAACGTTGCTTGGGACCTGTTTCATTCCCTGAATTCACGCTACTATAAGAGGACCGCCTCCGTGGTGTAGTGGTTAGAGCGTCCGCCCGGAGAGTGGA